CTGTATTTCATATCTCATAAACTGGAGCTGAATTATAGCCAGCGGGAATGTTCAGATAGGATCCAGACTTTTGTCACATGGGGGAAAACGTTGACTCTTTTGCAATAATGCTTGTCTTGTTTGTGGTGCTCTTCTTCCAATGAGGCATCATATGGCTTCTAGTTTGGCTTCTGTAAATATAGATCTTAGAACAGTTGTGCACAGTTTACAACTAGATGAAAAAACATCTGAAATACAAACAAGGATAGAGTTCCCTTCAGCTATCTCTAGTTTCCAGCAAGGACAAGAGATGAACCTGGATGAAAATGGGAAAGATTACAAAAGTTGAGAATGGAGGAAACCTCCTATTGCCAAATTTACTATGAAATAGGAAATTATAACCTGCTGGGGTTTATCTTTAACTGCTTTTGTTACTCTAGATTTGGAAGAAAGGAAAAAAAAAACAATAGGTAGGAAATAGCCCAAGAATGGGTAGAGGGAAAAAGATTGGTGGAAAAGTCACAGGAGTATCTTTTAGGATAGGGCAACCTATGGCTTTCTTAATTGTTCCTGCCCTACAACTTTGAATCTCCCTTGCTACCTACATTGCTGATAATTGAATTTCAATACAGTAAGAAAATAAATTGTCCATCCTATTGTGCACCAATAATGTAGATCAATGTATTCTTAAATAAAGTTCAAACCACTGTTATGTTACAATTATTCTGTATGCAGCCTGAATAATCTCAGCAAGTTTACTGAAAAGTGGAAATGCAACTAACAAACTGCAATGCAGGTAGGGATAATAAATCACCTGTCGTCAGTGTCACCTACCACAAATAGGACATGGGGGCATCACATTTCAAGTTCAACACCCTAAAATTTCAGCTGAAAGCCAGCTTCATTTGGAATAGTATATTTAAAGTTATTTCTGGGAAAAATACTATACATGTGCTTGTCCCAAAGGTGCTTTTTCAAGAGCCAACTGGATGTTCCTATTTTTCTTTGAAGACATTTTGCTTCTCATCCAAGAAGCTTAGCTCTGACTGGATGGTAGGGAATGGAAAGATTTATGTTCCTTGCAGACAGCTGGTCATTTGCATTCTTTTATAGCAGGGCTGTCAAACTCGATCCCATTGAGGGCCGTATCAGGATTTTGTTTACCCTTGGGGGCTGGGGTGAGTGTGCCCTGTTTATTGCATCCAACTGGGCGGGCATGCCAGGCCAGGGGCCGGTCCCTCGACATCTCTGGGACAGACCCACGAGACAACTCTGGGCCTATCATGGGATGGATGCAGCCCATGGGCTGCATGTTTGACATGTCTGTTTTAGAGTTGTTGAGGACACTTGGAGGCAGAGGTGGTATTCAGCAGGTTCTGACCAATTCTGGAGAACTGGTAGTGAAAATTTTGAGTAGTTCAGAGAACCGGTAAATATAACCTCTGACTGGCCCAGTCCCTATCTATTCTCTGCCTCCTGAATCCCAGCTGATCTGGAGGGAATGGGGATTTTGCAG